AGGCAGGGCTACCAACAACCATCCTGCCAGCATTTCTATCTGGATGAAATCGTACGCACTGCGAGTATATTGCCCGTGTCGAAGTTGATTTGTGGCGGAAAAAATTATGGTGTCAGTCTGTCAAATAATTTTTTCGTCACACAAAAATATCAATCAATTCAGAAGAGGACAGTGTTTTTACCATGAGCAAGAGAAATGTTTGCGCGAACCATCCCATTTATTCCGAAGCAACTGCTAAATTTCCATTGACTTGCATCGAACAATGAGGAAAAGTAAATGGAAAACGATGGAAGGCCTTCTTGAAGAACTGATTTGTACGAAGAGGATTTCGGTCATTTAGTGGGTTAGCTTTATGATAAAGGTTTTGAAATTTAACCCTGAAGACATTACACAGAATGGGAAGTATATTTTCGCGATTGTTATTATTATCGACAGAGACAAAGAGCCACACACTCCTGCGAACAGCAGTCACCCGATTTTTCAATTGGCATGTCAGAATGATCAGTGTAACAAGCTATTCGTACTGGACGTACTCATGCACGGACGTAAAATGGTTCAACAAAGCGACTGGTTTCCCATAAAAATATATGGAATAGTCGGTACTCGCATTTTCTGCCGTGCTACCTCTTCCAAATAGCAAGGGAAATTTACTGCAGCGGGACACTAGAAGAAAAAATTGCCTGCCCATAGGATCCTTCTCTAACGGTGGCTATACTTAAAGTTTCATCCAAAAGCACAACATCACCCTGTGTCCTAAACTAACGAAAAATTCGATTCAGAAATGGGTAGCTGTAAACTTCTCATGCTTTTTTGATCAAAACTTTCCACATACCGGCAGAATATTATTACCGACAAAGACATGGGAGACGGAAATGGCCACTTCTAGCTTATTGGCCGTCGTCAGTCAGTCATACCCAACACTGAGGTTTGGGAAACATGGAGCTCGAATTCGCTTCCGAGGCCTTTAAACAATAAACCACGGGCTCATTTTCCGGTCGATTGCAATGGGGAATATACAATAGCAGAGGGACGCATAACGAACTTTTTACGGAACTCACTCGACAAACTGTGCCCTACGGCCGTCGACGGCGCTAATAAGCCAGAAATTGCCATTTCAGTCTCCCTTGTCTTTGTCCGTAATGCAATTCTGCCATTATCACGCGCTGCTATGGGGCTGTTGGTTGGGTTCGTTGTTAGTGTTATGAACTACACCAGGCGTTTTCGATTGAAGCATTTCCATAAAGGAGTGTTCTTTTCGGCCGGACTACTCACCTGCCGAGAGAATGAAACGCCGCGAACTTGTCCTATAATTGGGAACACGGCAAACCAACGGAGAAAAAAACTTGATAATCTACAAAGACCGGATTGTCAAACGACACTCCGCTCCCCTCTGGATCAAGCCGATCCCAATGACCGCAAAGCTATCCCAGTAGCCGTGCCGGGGTTCAAAACAAATCTCGCATGAACTTAAAACTCATATTCATGTATACCAACGCGCAAAGTGTACTTTCAAAACTGGACGAACTCTGTATCCATACCTATGACCTCCATCCAGACGTTATCTCAATAACAGAAACATGATTGTCCGAACAGTTTGATGATAGAGAGCTCATGCTCACTGGATATCAACTGTTCCGCCGAGACAGGGAAAACAGAAGGGGTGGAGGCATAATAGCATTTGTTAAGAATGGCTTGCACGTTTCGGAAAAAACTGTCCAACTGAGTTGTAGTACCGAAGCATTATGGCTGACCATAAGGGCACCGGGCTCTCAAAGTCTCGATATCTTGACAGTATATCGCCCCCCGAGAAATGACCCCGACGCTGATGCCCAACTGCTGGAGGAGCTCAGATTATTTTCAACGCTGCCGACTGCTCTCATCGCTGGAGATTTTAATGCACCTCACATCGACTGGAGCTCGGCCTCAGCCGACTGCTCTGAAGCAGCATTTGACCAGCAGCTACTGCGTACCTCCGATAACCTGCTTCTCACACAACACGTAATGTTTCCAACGAGAGTTCGAGAGGGCCAACAGATGAACTGCCTATATCTTGTGTTCACCAAGTCGTCTGACAACATCGACGTTGTGAATTGCCTCCCCCGTTGGGTCAAAGTGACCATGTAGTTCTCATGCGGGAATACACGTTATCCTCCCTTCCTGCACAACCGCTCGATTCCCGACCTAATATTTGGCTCGGCGATTTCGAACAGATGTAAAAGGATCTTAGTCCTATCGACTGGGCATCCACTCTCTCCGGCGATGTCGAAGAGGCTTGGTGTCAGTTCAAAGAGTTAGTCCACAACCTCATCTCCAACCACTGCCCAATCATGCGCAGAAGACTAACAAATACACCTTGCTGGTTGACTCCGTCCTTAAAGAAGGAAGTTAACAAGAAGAGGAAGCTATGGAAAAGATCGCTGACGGATCGCAAGCCAGAATCCCTAAGCAGTTATAAGTTACAGAGAAATCGGGTCAAAATTCTCGTCGCCAGAGATAGGAAAGCTTTTGAAAAGAATCTTTTGGACCGTATCATGATTAATCCAAAAATCCTTTACAGCTACATAAGACAGAGCACACGGAATAAAGATCCTGTCCCACTGCTGCGAACGGCTGAGGGTGTGGAAATCTCCGATAACAAGGATAAGGCTGAACATCTCTCTCAGTTCTTCCGATCAGTCGTGACAAGTGAACCTGCTTTTTCCTCACCCGCTTATGAAGACGAAGAAACGCCTACCCTCGAAGCCGTCTTCTTCACCGAAACAATTGTTCGGAATGGATGCCTGCCCTCTGACTGGAAGTCTGCTACCATCACTCCGCTTTTTAAGGGTGGAAGTCGTGCGTCTGCGAATAACTACAGGCCATTGAGTCTTACCTCCATCTGTTGCAAAATCGTGGAGAAGATCATTAAGAAGGCCTTGGTGCAGTTCCTCGAGCAGCACCATCTCCTTTCTGATGCCCAACACGGCTTTCGAAGTGGTAGGTCCTGCCTCACGAATCTGCTCTTTACGCTCGAACGCTGCACCAAAGCACGCGATGAAGGTATTGTGGTGCACGCCATCTACATCGAATTCACAAAGGCTTTCGACAGCGTTCCTCATCAACGTCTCCTGTACAAAATGCGCAACGCTGGAATTCGTGGACGCCTTCTTGTATGGATCCAGAGTTTTTTGGCTGGACGGTCCCAGAGAGTGCAGGTCGGGCGTCAACAGTCCTCAGATGTAAGCGTGGTGAGTGGCGTCCAACAGGGCTCAGTCTTAGGTCCAACGTTATTTCTCGTTTTCATAAATGACTGCGTCAAGGACCTAGACTGTGATTCCATCCTGTTTGCCGACGACATAAAATTGTGGAAAGTTATTCACGATGCGGCAGACACAGACCACCTGCAAGCAAACTTGAACAGGCTCGAAGACTGGTCGAAGCGCTGGCTTATGCCCTTCAATATAAGCAAGTGTAACTTTCTTCAACTCGGCGGCTTCAGAGCCCCCAGCCCCAGGACCTACTTTCTAAACGGCTCACCACTGCAACAGGTTGACAGTCAGAAGGACCTGGGTGTATGGATTACATCTTCACTCAAACCAACACTGCACTGCGCGAAGGCGGCTAAATCGGCTACGGCCACATTGCAACTCATTAGGCGAGCATTTCTGGGATTTGACCCTGACTGCTTTTCCAAAATATTTGGCACCTTCGTGCGACCTCATCTAGAATACGCCATACAGGCGTGGAGACGCTGGACTGCCAAGGATTATACCGTCTTGGAGAAGGTCCAGAGACGGGCAACCAAAATGACACAAGGTCTGGGATCACTGCCCTATAACACCAGACTGTCAGTCCTCAGCCAGTTTCCCCTTTCCTACAGGCAATTACGTGGTGACCTTATACTAACATTTCGCATCATCAACGACCTAGACTGTTGTTTAGATCCCACTTATTATTTCACCCAAGCTAACACGCCCACTTTGCGCGGTCATCCCCTAAAACTACGCGCAGGGAAATTAAGAATCAATGGACGGAAGTTCTTTTTCAGTAACATAGTGGTTGCAGCGTGGAATGCCCTGACTACTGACGTTGTACCCTCCCCCTGTGTGAATTCCTTCAAGTGTAGACTTGACATTCACCAAGCTTCCCAATTACCACCCTCACATCAACTCGCAAAGCCCGGTACCATATTATAGTATTTATACTACTTATAATTAGTAAGTAACCGTTAATGATTACTCTTTTTGACTAACTGTCAGCTGTCCGCGAGTACGTACAAAATCCCTTTTTCACCTTCCCATTTATCCATGTTTTTCTGCGACTACTTGTAACCAATAGGGAGTTCAAAGGCGCTTGCCTTTATTTCCCTTAATAAACTGATACTGATACTGATTCATGAAATTTCTAATGAAATTCGGAAATTCGTTCGTTGTTTCGAATGGATTAATAAAATAGGGTTACAAAAGTAATCACCATGCAGCATAATTCTATACTAATTCAGTTATCAAAGGACTAAGACTTTGAATTAATATCGCAAAGGCCGTATGTACAAACCGCACCCTGTAAAAAATGAATACTTATGTAGCATGCATTTTTCGCATTGATCTTCGATGACCTTAAAAATTCAATCATATTTAATGGAAAACATGCAATTTCGTAGAACGTTAAGCATTGTTCAAGTTTTATAATTGGGGAAGGGGTATCATTTGGCTTATTAACATTTTTCTATTGTGAGATACTTAAATCCCGTGAAATTGCCGCTCATTCCACATTATGTCTCTACATTTAAAAATATGGCATGGGAGGGTATCAATATCGCTCAAATCCACTTCCACGTTTCATTAATTTCATATGATCCCCTCTTTAAACTGTAGCGATAGGTATGAACTTCCGTAGGCTTAAAATATATAGCTTGTAGTTTGGGAGCCCTGAATGCAAGTGTAACGGCATATCGGATTTAAAATAATTCGGAAAGTTGACATGTTCTCGAAAACCTTTGAGTATACAAATAGAATAAGACATACATTTCTACAGCATGAGTGAAACAATGCATATTTTCATACTGATTTCCATTAAAAACAATCGAATATTTAGTGGCATCGAAAATCAATGGCAAAAATGCATGCTACATAAGTAGCCATATTATACAGAGTTTAGTTTTTGCATGCAGCCGCAAACATCGTTCGTAAGCTGGTATCCTGAGGTAACTGGAGAATTTATCTGCGAATGGATCAGTTTTGGATCCATACTTAGCTAATATTTTTGAAACGAAAAGGCATTTCAGAATTTCGGTTGACAATTCGTGAGTAAGACCACCTAATATACTTCGATCCAGATAAAATTTTAGGCACTGTGTATGCTTTGCCCACGTCGCAGTTTTTTGCGGCGAAATAAATCACAGTTTTAATCTTGCAACGTTTATTCACACCAAAATACCAATCATTTCAGATGAGTACACCGTCAGTATGGTAAACGAAAAGAACATTTGCGCGCACCATACAGTCTATTCCAAGGCAACCTCAAAGTTCGAATTCATTTGCGTCTGAAAATGAGGAAACTTTAGTAGAAACTGATAAAAGACTTTCTTTAAGAGATGATTGCTACAAAGAGGATTTCAGTCACCTATAACATAATGTAATCCTTTCCTGACGTTGCAACCTATCTCATTAGTCACAAGGAATGCTATAACGTTATCCTGAGTAATTCTCAACACAGCGTAGTTACTGGTGCTGCCATGGAGGGGTCAATTTTGTCACGGACACACAGTTACCCGCACATGTGACTTTTCAGTAAATTAAGGAATAGAAACTAACGTAAATATCCCACCAAATACGCAGTACCACTGGGCAGACGACTAACTGCTTGAATGGATGAAGTCATCTGATACTGGATATCGCTTAAAATATTTCACTTTCCTTCTGGTTAATTATTTATGTTTTACCGACCTCTGAATAACGGTGGACGTTGTATCTAAAATTACTACGTCACACCTTGCAGAAAGCAGTACGAGGATGTTCCTGCGAACTTTTACAATTGCGGCAGTGTCAATTTTATAACCCTAGCGAGCGATTTCGAAAACGTAGATAGCATCGGAGCCAGAGCCACTATTTCGGCCGTAGATACAATTGCAGTAGAAGTTCTACGCGAAATCAGAAAAAAAGTCCATCTCACGCCCAATAAATCCTAGAGAAGACTTTGTATTTTGCAGAGTGTCCCACTGAGGAATTGCACGAACCCAATCGACTGACTGACTGAAATGAACACATGCGGAAATGCGAAACTTTGTCAGCAACCTGCCAAATAATTGCGGGTAAAACGCAAGTTAAACTAGACGAACACTACTCAGGGTGAAGTTTCTCCTCGCCCATCTGTGTCCGACATATGTCGGGTGGAAATATTTACTCCGAACTCAGGTGGTTCAACGAATAATTCCTTTACCAGCTCCTACTCTACAGAAGCAATCTGGACAGTCGTTATCCAAATGATAATGGCCCAAAAAGGGTAATTCACCAACACGCGTACATTACGAATGGCTGCCTAATGTTAGCCTCTACGACTGCTTGTTAATTTACACTTCCGGCTGTGTGCTAACGTGCAGCCGAAAACGGTAGCATCTCAATTGTGCCCTGGTAGATGCCGCTTCACGGAATATGATAGGCATTTGACTGACGGTGAATGGATCTGGAAATGGTCAGACGTAATTATGCAGTCCCAGCTGAAGAAAAAAACCCCAACCACCTGTAATAGAGGGTCAGTGGTAATAGGGGTTTTTACAGAAGGAGACGGGAACGCAAGGGCGACGAGGTAAATTTGTTGTATGCAAAAGCAAAACAATTGTGAATGCGCGGGTGTACTTAGTTGGGCCCCAGGTATCCCTCACCTTGGGGTTGGGTATGACTGACTGACAACGGCCACTAAGCCAGAAATGGCCATTTCCGTCTCATATGTCTTTGTCGGTGAGCCCATTCTGCAGGTATTTGAAATGGCAGCGGTCGCTTTTTTCGTCAGTTTAGACATAGGGTGACGTTGTGCTTTTGGATAAAACCTGACGGATAGCCATGCTTGGAGATGAATCCTATGGGTAGGCAATTTATTCTTCCAGTGCGTCTATGGACTAAATGTTCCTTGTCATTTGGAAG